AGTGATTGTGTTTAGAAAATGTGTGCATGTGAGACAATGGGGGTGGGAGAGGGAAAGACTAACTTATTCCATATCAAGATTTGCCTGAAGTCAATTCTACATCCATAAAAAAAAAATAGGGAAAAGCAAAAGAAAATAAAAACCTCAAACTTCTGTCTTCTTGTTCTGAATGTCCTTTCTGTTTCCAGGACTCAGGCAAGTTCTACAGTTCCTGCACCATCAACTTCATTACTTTTATGGGAAAAAATATATTCTTAGATCAAATAACATATTAATTTTTCTAAACACAGTTTGATTATAGCTTTCCAAATGCTTGCTGGGTCTCCAAACACGAGGAAGGGCCTCTGGCAACCTGTTTTTTAGGTTCTGGATGATACTGAGAAGTAAAAAAATATGTGTTTTATCTGTTTAAAACAAATTTGTGACAAAGCAGTAAAAGAGTAAGACAATGAATAAAATGAATGAAAAAAAAAAAAAAGAGCCTTATGCATTTGGGTATCTATATATTACTAATTTAGAGGATGATTTAAAATTTTAATTTATTCAAAGTCAGTGTTAAAACAAACCTGTAAAATCCCCAACAAATAAAAGTCAAAGCTTAGTGACATACATTTGAAGATAAGAAAAAAATCAGATTTTAGATTGGTTTTGATAATATAAAAAGCTATCAGGCAAACAGGCAGTTAAATTTCACTAGTTTGTTAGCTATGAGATGTCATAGTGCTTAGACTGTCAAAAGCATGGGGAGTAGTCCAGTGAACTCGTTAGAAGAAGGGCTTTGGACTCAATCAGATCTGAGCAGATCTGGCTCTGCTATTTCAAAATGAATTATTCTAGGGCAACTTTTAAAAATCTCTGTAAGCCCCCATTTTCTCATGTACCAAATGGTGATAAAAATAGTATGCATTCATAAAACTTGGGAGGAAAGCAAAGAAATTCAGATAAAGTGTATAGCACAGTATTTGGAACATAATTACATAAATGGTCATGATTGTCATTGTTAGAAATTTGTTTGAATTTTGGCTGCTGATAGTTGTACTATATTTAGAAAGTTTGACTATTGTCATCCACATTAGTATGTGAGGAATTAAAAGTAGGGATCACATAATGATGTAAGTATTAACTTGCATTTACAAATATTCCTTAATACTAATATCAATTTTTGAATGAACTAATGCTTTTGAGTGAACAGGTACTCCAGTGGTATACTTTTTTCATGGTGAGCATTAAGTTTGTTGTCAATTTATAAATATTTTATATTCCAAAATCTCAAATGGTGCAATTTTGCATCTAGTGTGTACATGACTTCAAGTGCCCTGGTTTTATTAATAGTGTTTACTTGTCTTTAAATTTGGTCTATGATGCTATTAGCTCTCTCTTATGTCAACTAAGGCTAACCTTTACTGGAAACGATTTTCTGTTTCTGTTGGAATACAATGAAAATAGATGGCAACACATATTTGAAGAAGTATCCTTACAAGATCCTCTGTTGTACAAAGCATGGAAGAGCAGAGTATGAAAGAGAACGCACTAGTTATCACAGACGGGACACCCGATTCAGTGTTCAGTCAACAACAGCATTTAACTTGGTAAAAATTAGCCAGAGTGTTTAAAATATTTGTTCCTCTGTCCATTATCATTTAGTGATGACAATTTTAATAATAGACCCATCTTGAAATCTTAAACATTTGATCTTGTGCAGTTACTGGGTGAGAATAGATTATGAACCATTTTGTATTTATTGAACTGATTTTTAAAAATGTAATGTTTTACATACAAACATTAAATTATTTTGACTTCTGGTTGTTTTCTTAAAATAGGAACATGGTAAATTCTAGGTAGAACAAACAAAGTTAGAAAAAATATTATTATCCAAGAACTTATACACTTTCTTCTTTTGGTTTTCGCCCTACCATGTTGTCTCTCTTGTCTTTGGTTATTTTTCATTTGGAAATGGTTTTGGTGAACTTTGTTTCAAATTATGGGTTCCTATCTTTCCAACATTCATAATTGACTGAAGGGCTAGATGCTTTTTCATATAAATTAACTGTATTCTGCTTTATCTTACTCCCAATGTGATTGTTGCTTTGCTTACTAGATAGACATTCTTAATATTTTCATCAGTTTCTGCATTTAGTCTGTTCCTGAAGCACTTATTGGTTGTACTGCATGTACAAAACAATGTGCCTGTCCAGAAAGGGTGGGGCAGCGTAGTATGATTCGATTTCTATACCCAGAGTTTGTCTCGTAATAAAGGAGGTGATTCATCCATGCAAATAATTTAAGTCCCAAGAAATTTAAAAAATGAAAGTAAAGTTTAGAGAAGGGCAGGTAATGATCTGTGTGAAATTCAAATGCATTGCATCCAATGGTGATGCCCATTTTATGACTCGGTCTAACTTGCTTACTTTTAAATGAATGTGTTACCTGAGTAACTTTTCAATGCAATGATATTTCTATGAAACTCATTCTATTAAAATAATTAAGTACAAATACTAAGTGTATTTTATGTATAAATGTATATTATATAAGTTACTATGAGATAAAACCAACCTTTATCTATTCATCCCATTAAATTAAATTAATGTAACTTAATTTTTAAAATCTCAGATCTGTGTGCAACATAAATTGCTAAATGATCCTGAACTTTTTCTTTAAAATCAAAATATCTTACAGGGCATCTACAGGATCTGGTTTTAGAGATGTAGACCATCAGTGGTACTTGAAGGTATTTAATCTTCAGTCTTAAGAAGAGCTCCCTAAGGAGAATTGCTCATTTGATCTTACTATTGACACTATCATTTAAAAAGAGTTTTGATAGATTACATCAAATAGAAGAGGAAGTGAACACACACATATTGGTCATAAATATTATGAGATCTGATTTAATTGTGGTCAATATTGGTAGGAGAGAGAAAACCAATATAATATCAGAAATTCACCCAGGTCATTCCAGGATACATATTCTTTGACATAACCTTTATAAAATCTCTTCATAACTTTTTGTTTTACCTTGTTCTAAGAAAATGTTTTACACCCTGGCCAGTTTGGCTTAGTGGTTAGAGCGTGGCCTGCGGACCAGAGAGTCCCAGGTTCGGTTCCTGCTAAGGGCACGTGTATTGGTTGTGGTTTGTCCCTGGCCCAGGTTGGGGTCATGTGAGTGGCAGCCACTCGGTGTGTCTCTCTCACATCGATGTTTCTCCCCTCCCCACTCTATCTGAAGATGAATGCAAAAATGTCCTCGGGTGAGGATAAAAAAAGAAAGAAAGAAAATGTTTTACAAAGGATTCCTATTTCCAATAGATTGTCTTTAAACCACTCTCATACTTTTCCTTGATGCTTGAAATGTTTTTCAGTGATCCTAACAGAGGTGTGGCTAAAAACTAATGAAGAGATTGTAGACTTAGTGAAGTCAGTCTCCTTAATAAGATCTGTTTTAAAATAAATTCTTACAGAACTGCTGGCAGACAGAACAGATTTGAGGACTTTGTGTTTTCCTTTGACCTTCCATTTTGTTGGCTCTCTGTTCTCACTTTCATCTCAGAGCTCCCAAAGCCAAAGCTATAATGCCTTTCTTGTTGTTGTTATTAGTTGGAACATTTTTGGCTCAGTATTCCTTTAGCAAAACTTTTTTAAAATTCTGTTCCCTTTATAGTCTTGTTATCAGAATTATGTCAAAATATTTAATGATGTTAGTGATTTGAGATACTTCCCATACAAGAGGGCACATTAACCTTTGACATGGTCTTTAATTCTTAACTCAGTTCTTAAGCGAACAGTGGTACTGCCTCCTCAGTGGATAAGAGAAAATAGCAGACCCAGAGGAAGTGTTTGGGTGCTGAAAGTGTTTTAGGTGCTGTTGAATTTCTTTGCTAATTTCTGCATTTAAGTAGACCTCATCTAGAATTTCTTAGATATAAAATTGTACTATATATGTTTTCTGGTTACAAGGTAAAAAATGGACTCACTGTAAAAAAGTACAGAAGATGCCCCCATTCCGAGATGCATATTCAGCAACAAAAATGCCCTCATTTGACCCAGCTGATTTTTAGAGTCTGACAATTTATATTCCCACTGTTATTAAAGAAAGCACTGAAAACATGATTTCCTGCTACAGTGTTTCCTTCCTGTTCTAGTTATGAGCAGAAGATGCTAGAAACCACTGTACCTAGATCATCTGTCTTCCACTTCCGTCAAGAAAGGAATGCCTTTCAAAGATCATCTGGAGTTTGTCTGACTTTGATAATGTAGTGCAGAGCAGTTCTAAAAATAAAGACAGGATTGTTGTGTCCATTAAGAACTGCTTATTTCATCATTGTTGTTTTTCGCTTGTAGCCTTGTGCCTTGTATGGTGGTTTCTGTTTTTCAGAGCAAGCTAAGAAGAGCCATTCTGTTTTTGTGCTCTGGGAATGCGGGAGCACAGAGTCTGTGTTTTTGAGAATAGTATTTGGCTCATACAAGGAGCCTGTGTTCTGCAAGTGTAATGTCTAATACATATAAAAAGTATCAGCATTTATGGGAATTAAGGCTCACAAATCAAATAGAAATCTCACAGTCAAAGAAGTCTTTATTTCTTGATATTATATTGAACCTTTTACTAGAAAACATATTAAATTAGAATAATTAAACAGGAGCTCTGATTTGCTATCTTGTTGTTTGCTTAGTGAGAACAGTCAGCACTGAATTCATAGCTACCAGGAAATTTTAGTTATTTTTTTATAGCCAAAACTATGGACTTTGAGGCAACACCCACTTATCATTGCTTATCTGTGTTTACGCTAATCAAATAGGATTCCTACAGAAAAAAGTCTTAGAGTATATATTGAAAGACAACACAGATTCCCTAAGAGCGTGGTAATTGTGTATGTGATAGTTAATAGATTTTTCACTGCCATCTATTGAAGTTAAGGGGAGAACCTCAAGATTATTAGTAATTTTATAATTCATTTCACATGTTAGAATTTAGTTCTATATCTTGGTCTTCTTTATTTCCTTTTTAGATACTAGCTCAGTCATGCACTGAAATCCTGGAACTGCAGCCCTCAAGTGTATGTGTGGGGGGTAAGTGGTTAGATTTAAAAATACCATGTAAGAAAATGTATTTTTTTTCTAGTTAAAATATATGATTTGAAACTCGTGTTGGAAAGAAAATAGCAAAATTAACTTTTTTGGCATCTTTTTCTGTAAGAATTTTTAAATAATTCCTTGAAATATTTCTATTTTAAATTCAAATTTTTAAGATTGGAGTGTTATTTTAAATAATGAACATATTGTGTGACAGGCTTTTAGAATCTTCTGTATATTTAGTTCATGTTTGAGACCTTTCTTATGACAAGTAAAATAAAATATGAAATTTTTTTCTTTTATCTGATTATACAGACAGTCATGTATCTGTAGATTCTGAGCCTCATGCTTTGATAACCTGGCCAAAGTACAATATCCTCCAGCTCAGGGCCCATAACGAAATGACTTACAACCTGATGTCAGGAAGGAAGCAGGTGGCTTCATCAGTTGGTGCTAAGAACAGACTCAAGTTTTAACACTTCCAAGCCATCCTAACCCAGAGAATGAGTCTCTTTGGCCTATTCTGTTTCTTCTTCAGGTCTGAGCTGGAGTTCATTTCAACCTGACTTGACTTAGAAAAGGAAAAATACTGTGTCTGATAGGGGAGGACATGTGCTGTGTAATTGGCCATTGGCCAACTGGAGGACATGGTATCAAGCTCTGTACCTTTTAGCCTCCTTAACTAATGATTACTGAGATGTTTAGAAGAAATATTGTATTTGAGCATCCCAGAAGTTTTATTTTCTCTGGTTCACAAATGGGGAAACTTGAGGCAGAGATAGGTTCAGTATTTGCTATTAATAATTGCCCTATTAGATCCCCTTGTCTGACTGACACTAAAGCCCATGTCCTTTTTCACTGAATCATATTTTAAGTTTTACCTGCATTTTATTTTAACGTATGAGTAAAATTTTTTTTATAACACATGGCAAGTGGCATGGCAGTATTTTCTTCCATAGGTACTTACTATGTATGTGTTAGATTATGCTAGATAGGAGGTATCTGAGGGGTTTGAGAGCTAACCACTGTTAAAATGGTTATATCATCTTGCAGCTAAGCAGCAAACATTTATTTGTGAATCGAGATATTAGATATTAATAGATATTTTCTTCTAGCATATTATTTTACTCTCTAACATTAAGTTACTGCTCCTACTGTATACATGGAGTACAATAAGTTAAATAAACTTTCTTTAGTAACTGGCTATAGATTATTAGTAGTCCAAAATACCTTACCTCTGGTGAGTTATAAATGTATATGCAACAAAAAATGAAAGTGGAATTAGTAACATGAAGAAGCTGTTAAAGAACTGTCTGGCATGTCATAGATGAAAGAAAACACAATGCAAGATGTTTCTAAGAACCAAAGCACAGGGAAAAATTAATGTTCTTTACATTTCCATACCTCAGTACCTGAAAACAGAGAAAAACAAAAAGGTGGTAGATTTGGGGAAGTTTGTATGGTATCTGTCTGGGGATGATTGTTATGCTTCAATTCTAGTATCTTGGTCACTACTGGAAAATGCTTTGTTTAAAAAATAAAATGCCTCCCTGTGTTGTAGTGAATGATATTTCCACTGATATCTCCCCAACTAAGAAAGCAGGTAGAGTTGGAAATAGAGCCATGTCTTCTTTGTGATTAGTTGGCTGAATAGTATGAAGAAATTCATTCTATGCACCTTGATACTTTCAAGTTATGTCTTATAAAAATTTTTTTGTAAAGCAGTGATTTAAAATGTTTATTTTTCCTTCTACTTCTAGAGGAATTTCAAATTGTTCTGAAGGGAAGAGGATTCAACTTGGGCAGTCGCAGCGGCAGCGTTCTCTGTACTTACACAGTAAATGACACCTACACAAAGAGTAGGTCCCCGTCCCCTCAATGGTCCTCTAATGGCTGCACAGCAAGTCAGCATCGGTGACTTTCCCCAACTGAAACCAACTATACCATATACTTTTTAGCAAAGGAGAAGGAAATAAAGTCCCATGATAATACAAATAGTAATAATTATTTAAGAGTTATTGAATGATGGCAATGTTTGTTCAGACCTTAATAAATGTTGGCCCCCGTTCTGAGTAGCCTCATTATACATATGATGGTTTTGTGGCTGAAAGAGTCAAATAACTTGCCTGTAGTGACCCTGTTAATAATGGGCAGAGCTGAGAGTTGAACCCAGGTTTCCTGTCTGCGCTTTGTAGGATCTATACCAACTGCCTGATTTAATTGCCTCTTTTTCTAGATTCCTTATCACTCGCTTGAAAATCTAACTCACTTGGACTACTCTACTAATTATTGCTTTATTTTATTAGCTTGTTTCTTTATCTAATTTCTCAATAATCTGTCAATTAGCGTTTGAGACAGGCTTTTTGTCTTACAGATATTTTATATCTCCAGTGCTCACCCAGCACAGTGTTTGTTGATAATTCTGATATTTATGGAATTAGGTTTTATTTTTCCTAGCTTGGCTTTTAAAAAAGCAGATGAGTATAATGTTTTTATCTTCATTCTGAGAAAAACTCCACTTAAATGATCTTGGTATTCTGAGCAGTGTTAGTTTCTATTAAGACATTTTTTTCCTCATTGATGATTACAGTGTCTTCTAAAATTTTATGGAAGGCATATGCTACAACACTGAATTCTGGTAGAACTGTTTTTTTGAGTGGTTCATCTACAGTTTTGCCATTTATCTGATGGTACTAAACACTCCAATTAGCACAGCTTTGGCTACACACACTGTAACTGTTCAATATGTGTTTGTTGAATTAAAGTGGTGATGATCTCAGCATGATAAATGTCATAATGAATTTCTTTCTTTCCTATTAAGCTCATTATTTTGGTAAGGCAAGACAGTAATATTTTTTATTTAGTAAATTCTCTTTATAGTAGGCTTCCACAATTGTGGAGGATAAAATAATTTTATTTTTATTCTGTAATCATCTGTATTTAAGTGTTAGCTTTACTTAACTCCTTTTGATTACATAGCTGAATTGATAAGATTAAATTTAATAAAGTAAATAATCAAACAAATAAGTGGAGTCAGATTGTTTTTTCATCACTCCCATTTTAGGATTATCAATTTGATTATGTAACTTTTGTGAATATTTATAGTCTAGATAATTTTTATCATATATTATTAAAATTATAAGAGCGGTTTAAGCATTTAGATTTATAAAGTGTGTGTGTGTGTGTGTGTGTGTATTTTCTTTTTGGTATGTGCCCCCAGCGGGAATAAACCCGGGACTCTCTGGTCCACAGGCCAACACTCCATCCGCTGAGCCAAATCAGCCAGGGCTATATATTTTTTTATTGTAGACACAACAGTTTTATTAAACTCTTGAAATAAATTCATTCTCCTTTGGACATCCATCTCCTTTTCTTAATCATTTTTAACTTCTGCTTTTAAATATATATACCATTTATCTTTTAAAAATCTAAGATATTTGACAAATTGAGGGGAGTAGATGATAATTTTACAGTATCTACAAATGTATGTAAACTTAGTCTAAGTAAAAAGTCATGATTTATAATTTACAGATACTGTGTATTGATGAGGCATAAAATCTCTATTCCTTTTTCTTCTCCTCTTTAGATGAGTGTCTTTTTGCTTTTTTATGCTAATATATCTGATGTTCCACACTTGAACTCTGATTGCCTTATGCCCTTCATATTATTACTGGAACTGTGAGATTCATAAAACCTTTTACCAATTTAGTGGCATTTTATTTTCCAGATGTAAAGCCAGTAAGTGTGGAGCTTAATTCTATGCTTTGTCCTGCACCTACCCTGAATAAAGTTGGAGAGTAAGTATTTCATTAAAAACATTTTAAAAGCATTTAATTACAAATTAATTGGAAATGGTGACAGATATACATTGCCTGTTTTATTGTATTTTGTTGCACAGATTGGACGTGTAATATTAAGCCTTAAACAAAACACTGGTTAGTAGTTTAACTGTACTTTTAGTAGGTTGAAAATGATAAAGTCTGTTTTCTCTTACTTATTAACTGTAAATTAAAAAGCTCTATAAATATTTATTTGGGTCCGTTTGAGAACAATTATTGTTAGAGCCTTTAAATAATAATGCCACGGCCATCCGTTTGAACTTCAGAGTATTAAATACACACACACACACACACACACACACACGCACACACGCACACAAGTTCCAAAGTGAGATTTTGACTAATTATTAAAGTGTTTAAATATTAAGATTAAGATTAAAGATAAAAAGGAACATGACTCAATAAGGCACACCTCACATTAGGAAATAATTGTGCTTTAATTTATTTCTCAGTCCTGTTAAGGTCTATATTCTCATGTTCTTCAGTGTTGCAGTGAACCATAATGATAACTGGTTAAAATGCGAGATATTTAGTTTGGAAGAAGACCTTTATTTCAATCACCTACACACAAGTTATTTCACTAGTAATTTAGTATTTCCACTTATGATTTTTTTCTATTCTATTATAGAGGAAATTATTAGAAACATTTCAAATGTTCCCTAGCCCAATAGTAGTAGATGCAATATGTTTATGGTAATAAATAGAATACAGATTTTTAGGATTACTTTAAACTGATCTTGAGCCTAGAGCAGAGGAAAGTAAAATATACAAGGCCCCAACCCAAAGTCTGGATTCGTGTTTAAAGAGTGAACATTGTATTTTTATCTATGGAACCTAAGAGAATCGTGTTAGTAGTTTGAAGTTTACTTGAGCACTTAACTTCTGTGGATGCATAAATATTCAAACTATCTATTGTATATTACGCTGGTCATCTAAGTAAATTGGAGCAGTATCCACTGTCTATTTTAAATTGATTAAAGGAGTGTATAATATAACTTACAAAAGCAAGACTACCAGAATCTTTTTCATTCTATAAAAATATTTATTTTCTGTGTTATGTAATGATCTATTGTTATTGACAACATGCTATGGCTGCATCAGACTATGTCTTGGAATTTGAAGCAGATCATTTTGCCTAGAGCATCTTCACCCCAAGTGCACAGTGAGACTCCAGGACTTTCTGAGCAATCATATCCTGTATTAGCCGTGATAAATCTATTGACTTGATGTTTGGTCCTATTTTAACAAATCTATAATTCCATATTGATTCTCCTGATCATTCCTCTCCATCTGCTCCTACAGCTGTCTTCTCTATCTTAGTCATTGGCAGTTCCACTTTTTTTGTTGTTCAGGTCAAAAACTTTTGATTCATAGGCCATCAACAAACCTTATTAGCTCTAATTTCAAAATATGTTCAGAATCCAGTTCTTCCCCACCACCTCTACTGATACCATCTTAGACCAAGCTACTTTAATCTCTTGCTTGGTTTATTACTTCTCCACTGTTTTTTTTTTTTTTTTTTTTTTTTCTCCTCTCCTTGGCAGGAGTGAGTGATCCTGTGAAAGCAAATTGGTTTATGTTACTCCTCTACTTAAAATTGTTCATGAGTTCCCCACTCCACTCACAGTGAGAGTTGAGTCATTGCAATGTTCTACAAGGTTCCACAGTGGCCCCTCACTCTGTCTCAGACTTCATTTTCCTTTTGCCCTTTCTGTTATGGTCACACCGGCCTCTTGCTGTTTCTCAACTACGTCAGCTTACTTCCACATCAGAACTTGTGTTCCCTCAGCTTGAAATGCGCTTCCCTCATGGCTCACTATCTCACCTTCTTCAAGTCTTATTCAGAGGTCACCTTCTTAGCAAGCTCTTCCTGGTCACATTATTTAATCATACCATCTTATTGTGTCTCCTTGCTAGTATGAATCTTGTTTGCCTTGTTTCTCACTGTATTTCTAGTACCTGACACATACCTGACCTACAGTAGATTTGCTAAACGTGTGTTACCTAAAGGATGAATACATTTGTTTCAAATACTTTGATTTATGAGTTACACACACAGTCAAGAGTACATTTGTTGCTGGGGGCCAGAGTCTACATCAGATAGGACAAAAATGATCAGATTCCTATTTTGGAAGAAATGCCATTTGAGAGAGCAGAAAACTGTCTTGGCTTTCTAACAGTAGTGTCTACTTAATGAAGACACCTTCCTTTCGTCTCCAAAGTCAATATAAAATGCAATATACCTGTTCTATCCCACATTCCGAATGTGTTTTCTTTAGAATTTGCCTTTGGGCAGTCTCCTTTTGAAGAGACTACCATCCGGACTGCTGATATTCTTTGGTGATTTGTAGATAGGCTGAATATTCAGATGTGATTTTAAAAAATCATATAGAACATAATACATATTAGACATGAGAGGTCATCCTCTGTTGGGCTTTTGACACTAATATTTCACCTTCGAGCAAACTTGATATTGTTTGGGGAAGAAGCTTTGTCTAAAATAATTACTTTTGATTTTTTTTTTAAATCAAGTACATGATGCAACTGAGACAAAATATTTTATTTGTTAAGGTATTGGGTATTTGTGAACATCATTATTTGTTCTACTAAGTATGTTGCAGGTAATTTGGAGCTTTCATTTGCCTTAAATTTTCTTCAGATACTTTTGTAGGGGATGAGCTCTCTTCTGAGATTGGATTATAATCAACACAACTGAAACACTTTAGCCTTGTAAGGTGACTGATGCTTAATATGCTTGCCTAATTATCTTTTCGCTAAGGATTCAAACCCATTAAGTAGCTAGTTAGTCTATATTTCAAATGAACACATCTGGCCCAACAATGAATGAGGCTTTTTCCTGTGTGAGGGTGACAGATGTGGTGGTGGTTCCCCCCGTTCTCTCACTTAAATAATTAACAACACTCTGGTGAAGTAACCTTAGACAGACAGCCTCAAAGCCAGATGCGTAGTCTCAGAGCTGGATCCATGGGCACGCGATTCATCTCATTAGCCTACTCTAACAGTTCCTTTTTTATCTTTGTTATATTTCCTAAACTACATTTGTTTGAGGACTACTTCTTTAAAAACGCAGGGCTTGTGAATTTCGGTTTAAAAGAGGGTTAACATGAAAGTATTGACTTGGAGATGAGAATGAAGAATGTAGCCAAGTAGGACATAGATTTGCATTTGGAAATTGATGTCATAGAGTAAACAACAGTTAAAGCCATCTGGGAAAATCTTATGCAGGTATAGTATTGTTTAGCACTGTTGAAGGGGGTCTTTGAAGGACTACCTTGGAGAGAATCTCCATTAAATTTCTTTATTTGATAGAGATTTTTTAGACTGAGATGAATAAGTTCTTAGTATTTAAACAGAAAGTATGTAAAGGTGGTAGTAGTGAGGTGGTTCTTTTCTGTTTCTTTCATTGTATACAGTTTAATTTTAAAATGTCACATGATTAAACAAATTGTCTTAGAAGATTGTTTGGGAGCTTTTTCTACCAGTGGTTCATTTGTCTCCACATGTGTTAAGTTTGAATAGAAAGGATTCTGTGAAGTTCTTTAAGTCCTTGCCACTGCAGGGCAGTCTCTTCGTGGTGTACAGTGCAGGTGCATTTGCAGGATGGGCTTATTCTCTGACCCTTGTTTAGTGAGACGGCGACAATAACACAGCTGCTCTGCAATAGTTGAGATCTCAAACCTGTAATTTGGCAAGAAAAACAGAGCAAATTGGGTAAATATACATAAACACATTGTGAAGAAAGAAAAACAGAACAGAATGAACCAAAGCCTTATCCTACAGCTTGTTTGATAGAGATGATTTAAGGAGGCATATGGTATAGTTAAATGTGCTTTCAAAAACGTTGGCCAGAATCTTCTGGCAAATATGAAATAAATATCTAAATCAGATAAAACTGATAGTATTAGTTCTCTTAAAAGGCAGTGTGGAGAGGCACTTGACAGAGTATTTTGAGTAAGGAGTGGAGGAATATCAGTGAATGTGGAATATTTTACACGTCTGACATTGATGGGCCATTGAGATAAATGGTGTGGTTGACTTGGGATAGAGCCTGAGTTGATAATAGAATATTTTTATATTCCTCAACATTGTTACTTCTCCATTGTAATCCATTTTCCTGAAATAAAATTGATTAATTTTATTTCTTTTTTCTTGGTTGGGAAAATTCTACCTTTAACCCAATTTCTTACATGAACACTTATTTTCAATATACCTATGTATGTATGGATGTATATACACTTCTGTACATTCTTATGTTAGTAGCAGTTGATGCAGTCACAACTTGATTCTTCTGTTTCCTCTGAAGAATGAGACTTTATTTTTATTGTGGATATCAGGACATTAGTTATGTCTTTATTTTGAATATAAACGTTGATGCAGTAAGGCTGAAGACCCTCCCTGTTTCTCTCTTTGACTATCTGCTCCTCAATGATGGAACTTTTACCTTTCCTTTCACATTGTGTGTTGCTTTCTGATCATATACATATATGATAAGTTTACCTAATCTGCATAGGATTTCTATTTTAAATATTATATTCAGTTCTATAAATTGTTTTTCCACAGGAACAGCCATTAATTTAAGCACATCCAGGGGTGGCCAACAAGATGTTGCTGAGTATGGAAACATTAAATAGAATGAACTTTAAAATCCTAGAAGAGATTTTAAATACAGGTGGCTTCAAACACTGAGTCTGGTCTGTCATGTGAAAGATAGATTTGACTTATTCTTTTTTTTTTTTTTGATTAATTTGTTTTTGTTACAGATGTTTCTCATTTTCCCCCCATCGACACCTTTCTCCCCTTCCCCACCCTGCCCCTTCCCCAACTTTGTTATCTATGTTCATTGGTCATGCATACATGCATGTAAGTTCTGTGGTTTATCTCTCCCCCAGCCAGCCCTCCCTCCTCTGAGGCTTGTTAGTCTGTACCCCACCTCTATG